AAGTGGTAGCGTGCTTCCCCCGCCCCCCCCCAACAGTTCTGGTGTGGCTCTTTGGCTCTCTTCGTTTGCTGGGTTGGCCACCCCTGCTCTAGACCCTCCCCGGCAGCCTCTCCCACCCTGCTCCACCTGGGAAGGGACCAGCCACTAGCTTCCGTCCATGTGATTCTCACCTTCTCGTAGCCCGGCTGTGTCCGAGGGTGTCCCATGTTCAGCTGCAGCTTTGGCCTCCGTGTCCCAGGTCCCGTCTTGCCTGGGCTCCCTGTCGTCCTTTAGCCCTGGAGCCCCCTGCTCCGGGCTGGGCATCCCCGCGGCGCCTGGGGCCGGGCCCACCACAATGAAGACTCTGTCCCTTCCCTTATGTGATTCTCACCTTCTCGTAGCCCGGCTGTGTCCGAGGGTGTCCCATGTTCAGCTGCAGCTTTGGCCTCCGTGTCCCAGGTCCCGTCTTGCCTGGGCTCCCTGTCGTCCTTTAGCCCTGGAGCCCCCTGCTCCGGGCTGGGCATCCCCGCGGCGCCTGGGGCCGGGCCCACCACAATGAAGACTCTGTCCCTTCCCTTCCCAGAACGAGCAGCAGGACGTGATCAATCAGTTCCGCAAGGGAGCCTTCAACCTGCTGGTCTCCACCAGCGTGGCCGAGGAGGGCCTGGACATCCCCGAATGCAACATCGTGGTTCGCTACGGGCTGATGACCAACGAGATCGCCATGGTGCAGGTAGCTGGCCCCTTCCCAGGCCTGGCCCGGCTCGTCCCTTGTTCCTCGGCGCCCTCGCTAGGCTCAGCTCCCATCTGTCCCCGGCCCGCCCGGCTGGGTCTCTTTGACCGACCTGGGCATCCAAGACAGCTGGCCCAAGTCCCTGCCTGCGCCCCTCCAGCCTCCCTGGGGTCCTGCTGGGCGCTGCCTGCAGCTGGGTCCTTCTCGCTGGAGCTGGCTCAGCAGCAGGAGCTGTGCCGAGGGGCCAGGACCTATGGGGCATGGAGACCTCCCCACAGGCCTTCTGACCCCAGTGCCCCCTGCCAGCACCGGGGGGGGGGTGAAGCAGGACAAGCCGCCCAGGCCTAGGGGGCTCAGCCTTCCCCCAACCCCCTTGCACTGGGGCGCTGGAGACCTCCCCTGCCCCAACTCCTGCGGGGGGGCCTGCCAGCACTTCCCTGGGCCTCCTCCCCGAGCTGACCCGCCGGTGCCTCCCTGTTTGTGCAGGCCAGGGGCCGCGCCCGGGCTGAGGACAGCCTGTACTCCGTCCTCGCCCAAGCCAACAGCAAGGAGGTGTCCCGGGAGCGGCGGAATGAGACCCTGGAGGAGCTCATGCAAAGAGCCATCGAAGCGGTGCAGGCCATGCCGGAGGAGGAGTACCGGGACACGGTGAGGGGGCCGGTGCTGGGTGGGAGCCAGGCGCCTCCTGCCCCAGGCCCCACGCTCTGCCCTGTCTTGTGCCGACACCTCCGGGCCCAGCCCACAGGCTGGTGAGGGGCAGCAATTCCTAGGTGGCAGGAGCTCCTTCTGGGGAGGGGACAGAGAGGAGCTGAGGGGGCCGCTGGTGGCTCTTGCTCCGTGTCTGAGGGCGGCCCCCTGTGGCACCCCCATTAAGCCGCCCTGCCCCCCCTCCCCCCAGATCACAGACCTGCAGCGAAGCGCCATCATTAGCCGGAAGGTGAAGAAGGCCGAATCCCACCAGAAACGGCGGCTGCACGACCCGGACGCCGTCCGGCTGCACTGCGGGTCCTGCCACGTGGCCGTGTGCCACGGCAACGACCTGCGCACCGTGGAGAAGATGCATCACGTCAACATCAACCCCAACTTCAAGTGAGGGCGGCCCGGCGGAGGGGCACCGGGGAGGGGGCCTGAGCAAGCGGTGTCCTGGCCTGGGGGGGGAGGGGGAAGCACGGGGCTGGGTTCCCTGGGGAGGGGGTGGAATCTCCATCCCTGGAGGCTTTTAAGTCCCGGCTTGACCGAGCCCTGGCTGGGCGGATTGAGTTGGGGTGGGTCCTGCTTTGGGCAGGGGGCCGGGCTCAGTGGCCTCCTGGGGTGCTGTGAGATCTGCAGACAAGCTGGGGGGAAGGGGGCGCCCGGCTCGCAGGCGACCAGAGCTGGGAGGGGAGGTGGGCAGCAGCCGCCGGCGGGGCCGAGCGAGGGAGCCGGGTGGGGACAGTCGCTAGCGCAGGGGGGTTAATGTCCCCGACCCCCTGCCCTCAGCCCCCTCTCTCATTCTGCCCCGAGGCCCCCCGCTGGCTCCTCTGTGCTAGGACTCCCTGCGGGGCCAGTTGGCAGCCTCTGCCAGCCCCGTCATTCCTCTGCGCTCCAGGCACGGCTCTGGGGAGCGGCCGGGACGCCCTTGGGGCCGGCCTTGTCCCTCCCCGAGGGGGGCGGCGCGGGGGGGCGCTCCTCGCCCGGCGGCTGCCTGCTGGCTCCGCTTGGGAGCCCTGCAGGCTCGACTCAGTCGCCCCCGGGCCAGCTCCTTATGGCCGCGGCTCTTGGTGCGTGTCCTGCAGGTTTTACTACAGAGCCACGTCCGGCCAGGTGGAGATCCCCCGCAACTTCAAGGACTGGAAGCCAGGGGGCAGCATCAGCTGTGCAAACTGCGGGCAGGTGGGTAGGCTGCAGAGACACACTCCCCCCCCATCCCCGGGGGCCAGGCAACGCAGTGAGTCGCCGGTTCCTCTCCCCGGCAGGGTAAACGGGCACTGGGGGGAATTGGAAAGACACCCGGTCTGCACGTACAGGGCCCAAGGGACAGAGAATCCACCTGCCCCTTGGGAATCCCTGGCTGACATCCCCAAACATTCACAGCCCGTGAGGTTTTGCAAAGGGGGGTTTCTGGGCGTTTAGGGGTCACAGCTCCCCCTCCCCCCGGGTTTTCTGCACAGCCATGAGGGCTAGAAACGTCCTTGTTATGTTAAGGGAAAGCTGAGATCGCCCCCAGCCACGTGACTCCAGGGTCTGGGTCTGTCCGCCAAGCAGCCAATCTTAAATCCTGGTTAATTATCCTCTTTCGGAATGGGCACCACGTTCCCGGGAAGGAAGCGACTAGTTGAGTCAATACGCAACTACTCATTTCCCCCACTCCCTTGCTGCCTCTGTGTCAGAGGCCGCAAGCAGGGGAGGCAGGAGCCGGTGCGGGGGAGAGCTGGCTTAAAAGCCGGTTCACCCCAGCACTGTCTCTGCGATGCAGGGGATGGAGGGCGGGGGCAGCAGGGGACGCAAAGCCACAATGGTCCAGGACCCAGTGCGAGCTGGAACCACACAGTCTCAGCTTGCACTGGGTCTGGGATCTACCCCCGCTGCAGCTTAAATATAGTAGGAGCTGGGCTGCCTGCAGAGCTGCAGTGGGGGTAGCGCCAGCTCCCGCCTCCCCTTTATCGACCGACCGATCGTGTACTCGATGCAATTGTATCGACTACAGGATGAGTCAGTTACCCACTTCTTCACATCCTCACCACATTCTGTGCGAGTGTTTCTGCATTAAACGTACAGCCATTGGATCTGGGGTGTACGTGGGCGCCATGGGCAGCAGGTGAAGGCCCAGCTTGGGCAGGCAAGCCGCAGCCCCGCCCCTTTTGCCTGAGGCCCCTCCCCTGGATATAAGCCCCGCCCACTCCCGGGAGGGACTGATTCTTCCTGGCCACCTGGAGGGCTGCCATGCTACAGGCCCCAGCTCTCCGCAGTGGCCAGGGAGCCAGGTTGTGCGTGGCCCCAGCCTTCCCGGGCAGCCAGGGCATGTCGGCAATTTTGGGAAATCTGTGCCTTCCCTTGCCCGCGTTACCGGGCCCCTCCCCTGGATATAAGCCCCGCCCACTCCCGGGAGGGACTGATTCTTCCTGGCCACCTGGAGGGCTGCCATGCTACAGGCCCCAGCTCTCCGCAGTGGCCAGGGAGCCAGGTTGTGCGTGGCCCCAGCCTTCCCGGGCAGCCAGGGCATGTCGGCAATTTTGGGAAATCTGTGCCTTCCCTTGCCCGCGTTACCGGCCGCCACACATGCCTGTGTCTGTGTGTGCACGTGTGGCCACGTGTGACTGGGCAGGGCAGTTTAATGTGTCTATGCTCCTGGGTGTATCACCTGGAGCTGTTGTGTATAATTCAGCTCCGTGGCCAAGTTCTAAGCCCCCCTGGCCCTGTCGTGCGACTCTCTGGCCCCAGCGATCGGCGGGGGGTCCGGACAGGTGACGTGTGCCTGGTCTGTCCCCGCAGGCCTGGGGTATGGAGATGATCTACCGCAGCGTGACGCTGCCCATGCTCTCCATCAAAAACTTCGTGGTGGCCACGCCGGACGGGAACAAAGAGCACAAGAAATGGAGCGGGGTGACTTTCGCCATCGAGGAGTTTGACTACGAGGAGTACTGCAGCAGCACGTTCGACTTGGACATCTAGCAGCCGGCCCACGCAGGAGGCTGCCCGAGCCCCAGCCGGCCTCCCGTGGCGAGGCGGCGCCTTCGCCCAGTCCCTGGCGTGGGGGGCAGGAGCCCCCTTGCCAGAGAGCACAAGGGACACGTAACCCTGCTTTGTTCAGGGGCAGCTCTGCCTTTCCTCCGTGGTCTAGAACAGGCCTGGGCAACATACGGCCCACGGACCCAGCCTGTGGATTCTGTGGGGAACCTCAGGTCAGCTCCCCGCTTGCTTCGTCCCATCCGCACGCCGGTCAAAAACGCGGCTGCGGGGCGTTTTTTCTTTAAAAACTCTGAGTCTGGAGGGGGGAGGGGAAGGGAGGAATTGCTCCCACTCCCAGCATGATCCCATTGGTCGGTGTCTGGCCAGAAACTGGCCAATGGGAGCTGCCTGATGCAGCCAGGAAGCACAAGGCGTTCCAGAGCACATGGCTGCAGCCTGTGCAGGGGCGGGGCAGGCAGCAGGGTTCCCTCTAAGCTGGGCTGGCAGCCCCGCTTCACCGGTGATTAATCAGCCCAGCCCAATTCCCTGCCCGAGGTCACAATCCAACCCCCTGCCCCCCACTCCAGTGCCCCAGGTCACAACTGCCTTCTCCACCCAAACTCCCTCCCTTACCCCAGCTTCCTTCTGCACCCACCCTCCACCCCAGACTCTACACCTCCTCCGATAGTATCGTGGAAGAGTGCGGCCCTCGACCACGTTCCAAATTCTTGGAGTGGTTCCCCCATCAAAAAATATTGCTCACCCCTGGTCTTGGGCCTGCTGGGATGGCAGGGGCCAGGGCTTGATCCCTCTTGAGATCCTTTCCAGGTTTAGGGTTCTATAGACTCCCCTGGGCACTGGAGAGACACTGAGAACAAGGGAGCGGTACGGGCCTTCTGCAGATGGGCCCCACGGTGCCCCTGCCCCTCTCTCCGGCCCCAGTCCTGTCAGTGACTCTGTTTGGGCCCCTCTGGGCCTGCAGAGGATCAGGTGCCCAGAGATCAGAATCTGAGCTGGGAGAAGTCTCCTAGTGATCAGACTGAGGTGTCCCGGCCAAACAGGCAAGGGATCTTCTATCCACTGGGTTAGGAGGGAATGTCAGGATCGTCTAGTCTAACCTCCTGGCAAGATCTGTACTCTTCAGCCCAGGATTGGTCATAACTCCCACCCCCCCGGGTTCTAACACTCCCTTGTCCACCCTCCCCTTCCTGCTGTCCACCCCCAAACACGCACCCCTAAGGAGCGGCGCATTGTGACTAGGCCCAGCCGTGGGTCCTGTTCCCAGCTCTGCCACTGATTCACTGGCTGATCTCACACATTGCTTGGTGCCTCAGTTTCCCTACCTGCAGACAGGGCCAATGTGATGCCCTGTCAAGGGGGGAGGGGGGAAGTCTGCAGGTAAATTTCCTTGTGGTCCCATGAAGGGCAGTATAGCTCTCTCCCCCTGCCCGGGAGCCCACCCCCCACCTTTGGCCACAGTGGCAGTGATTGGGCCCACCAGCTGTACTCAACTGAGCGTGTGTTGATTGCAACAGCCAGCGAGCAGGGTGCAGAGTTCCCACTGGCCCCGCCACTCTCGGAACCAGCAGCTAGGTAAAGTGGGCTAGTGCTAATACAATACCTATTTATAAAGCTCATAAGGGGCCCCCTTGCACTGCCGTTGCTTCACCGGCTCTGCTTGGGTTAGCCCCCCAGCGTCCATGGACACCCTCCAAAGCGGTCGGGATCGGCAGGCGACTTGCTTTGCATGTTGATCTTCAAGCACCTTGCTGCCATGTGGAGCCTTGAGGTGGTGACGCTGAGAGACCAGGGGCCAGCTCATGCCAGTGTGACATGGAACAGTCACATCCTCCCATTCCGTGGACATTGCATTAACATAGGATCACACCAGGCTGCGAGAAGGATCCTGTCCTAATGGCCTCCACTGTCACCGGATACAGAAACCGATCTCTAGATGGGTAGAGTAAACTTAGTTAACAACGTTTCGTCTAGCAAGAAACAGCTTATCAGTAGCTGAGGTTGTGGAATCAGCATTCTGTGATTATTGTCCTCACTTTCCTATTGTTTGTCGGTGAGATCTCGGTCTGGTTTGTAACAGTTTCTGTCTGCTGAATAATTTAATTTTGCTAGGTGTGAATTAACTAAGGCAGTGGGGTACGATTGGTTTGGTAATTCCGTTACAGTATGTTATGATTGGTTAGTAAAATTATACTAAAATAAATTGGTTAAGGTCTAGAGCAGGACTCCAGTTTCACTATATAAACTGGGGTCTGGAAAGAAGGAAAAGGGGGAAAGTGAGACAGAAGAAGCAGAAAAAGGGAAAGAAGGAAAGGAACACCAAGAAGGAGGGGGAAGACCTGGAAAAAGAACTCGCCTCCAAGACTCGGCCTAAGAGCAGAGCTGCAAGGATTTCTCTGCAGGACTCCTGGCCAACAGGAGTCATTGGCCTGCCTTTATCAGGATGGATGAACATGACTGTGAGCTTAGCATGTATATTCTGCTTGCTTGGGAATTGTCAATAAATAGAGAACAGGAATATTACTGTGTGGCTCTTTCAGTGGCAAAAGATCCTGCAAACCTGCGGGAAGTTCCACCCTGAGCCCTAGGAACTGGGTAAGGGTGGGTGTCCCTGAAGTGTGGAAGGGATAGAGAAATTAGTGCGGGTA